GGATGACGTAACATAAATGACTAGAAATTGAGCGTTGGTCGAGTCAGTAACAGTGGTAATGAGGTGTAGAAATTAAATCTGGTGGGGGTGTAGAGAACAGGAAAGTTTAAAATGTAAAATATTACAATTGTAAAGACAAAATAATACTAATGAAGAGACAGAAAGGAAGAAATAGAATTTAATTGTCGGCTTTTAAGATAGATTACGTCCATTGCAAGTGTAGTGATTGAACGAACTTCTTCTGTATACAGAGTTCAGGACTTAGCAAGTGAATTGCCATTGCTTCTGAAGTTTGAAGAAGTTTGATTCGTACACTTTTAGGAAGACTACTTCGTATTCTGTAGATGACTTTGAAGTTTGTTTGGGGTGTAGCTTGGTGTCCGGAATCTACCAGATGTTCTAAGATAGAGCTGCGGGAGCATCATTTTTCTCCTTTGTAAAACCATGCTGGTAAGTGTTCGGTGATACGTTTTGGAAGCGAACGCTGGGTACGGTCTGGCTCCACATGATCAGGTGAATTGGTAGATACACATTGATGGGGCCAGCAGTGATAGCTTATCCTTCACATTCATATGAATCATAGGTCTTGTAGAGAAGGTTAGCAGTAGTTCAGCTGCGAAGAAAATTTTCTTGAGTGAAAGGGACAGTCGGTTTTTCACTGTTTCCGCAGATTAATCTCCATTGAATTGAGGGTTCATTTAGAGGAGTTTTTTCCGGACGCTAAGCGTGGGCGGCTTTTGCGGTATAGGATTCATGGATTGTGCCATAAGTCGTTCTGGATAACAATTCTCGACGAGGAGTCTCTTGAGATTGTTCAGTTCGTCTTCTTTAGTGTCCGGGGTGCAAATTCTGCGAACTCTGTAGCTGAGTGAACAGATCAGGTTTCGTTTGGTGTATAGAGGTACTCAACTGTAAAAATTAGGAAGCTGTCCGTTCCACGTCAACTGTTTGTAGGTAGATGTTTTCAGTGTTCCATCCTGTTCTCGTCTTGTTAGTTTGACGTCAAGAAAGGATATTTTGAATTGGACTCTTTCTCTAACGTGAATTGAATCGCAGGGTGGCAGTTGTTAGAGGAACTCAATATATTGTTTAGATTTTCTTCATTGTTGACGATAATGAAAATGTCGTCGACGTATCTCTTATAGATTTCGAAATTATCGATCATTTTCTTCACGCATGTGTTTTCAAGTTTTGCCATGAATAAATCTGCTAGAAATGAGCTTAGTGGTGAGCCCATCCTTTTGGCGATATATTTCGTTGTTAAAAGAGAATTGAACATTCAGGGTACGCCTTAGTAGGAGTTCTTTAAGTCATTTGTGTCTAATTATCTTTCTGACTGAGTATTACTTCCAACATGAAAGGCATCTCATTAAAATTCTTGCTCAATGGTTGTTTGAAATGCACAAACAAACAAAAGAATTAACGTCGAACAAGTTTCTGATGTCAGATTAAGAATTTTCAGTAGTATCTGTCTGTAGACCGTCAGCTTTTAAAGTGGGTATGTTGTTATTGAAGAAGAGAAAAAATGGTACTTTGGTTATGGTAGTATATAAGAGGCTGGATAAATCGTTTCTACGCACAAAATCCAGATTTCCTTTTAAGGATTAGAAAGGCTTTGGCTGCATAAAAATGTAGGCAAAATCCTTTCGAATGACTTAGTTATACTTAATATGTGACTCTGAAAGTAGTCTCTGCTGATGCTGCATGAACTTTGCTGTTGACTGTTCCAGGTTCTCCTTTTGACGGCACCCACATTCATGGGTGGGTGTTAAAAATGCCCTTCTGGTACAGCCTATGTATTTATCTCCACAGGAGTAAGTGAATCGGTAAAGGCACGCTGAAGTTGCCAGCAGCGTGATCTTGTCTTTAACGTTTCGGTGAATAGCAGCATGTTTGGAGAAGGTGAGGCGTAGAGATGCAGCAAAGGAAGTTCTTTGAAATGATTTTGACAGGCGGCTTCGGAGAACCTCATCAGTTTTAACTTTCGTGAATTTCAGATTAACAGTTATTTGTGTTTTTTGCAGATCCAGGCTTCGAAGAGTATCGAATAGTCTTTGTCTTTTGGTGTTTATTGATATCCGTTTTTGACTGGAGTTTTTCTGAAGGATTTAGATTATATATTCGGTATGTCTTCAGTGCATGTGTCGTATATTCTTGTCACCTGTGTTGTGACAAAACTTCTCTTTCTGCTCACTGGGACGAAACTGTGATATTTCTTTATTTGTTCGTTCCAGTTTGTCTTCTGGTGAATTGTCTGTCTGTCTGTTTTCGACATAGAACTTTGCACCTATGTGCTGCAGTTCAAGTCGCCATACTCCATGTAGCACACAAAGCAAGAGAAGAAATGCAAAACAGAGACAGTAAACAAAGGTGTGAGACAAAGGAATAGTAATAACGAAGAACAATACAGTTTCATTGGAAATCATAATTCACAAGGAGTGGATGCATCTGCGCCATTGAGAATGATTTTGAGCCATATCACCTCCAGCCAATGGTTTTTACTGTCCTGAGGACCTCAACCAGGAAGTCTACACCTTCCTACGTGGCTTAAACTAATTGAAGCCATGTTTTCGTTTGACGGCCGCTAGATCTTTTCCAGCCTGACCCTATGTCAGCTAACATTGCTCAACGAGGGAGGCCATCGATGATTAGGCATACGTAACATATATCCTAACCATCTCAGTCGATGTAATTCCACAGCCTCGTTGATTGATTTCCCCTCCTAACCTAGCACTCGACTTGTGGCGAATTGATCTTTGTTGGGTTTCATCTAATGGTCTTTTTAGCTTGACATCTAGGGACTATCATTTTCCTTCTGATGCGGCTTTAATTTTAAATTTGATTAAGTGATGAACGTTGTTGAAGATTTGCGGGCCTTTGATTAGATCAGTATTTTCATCGTCTTCTTCAAATTACGTATTTTTTAGCTTCACTAAGTAATTTTCAGCCATATGCATGTTGGTAAACACCAATCATAAATTACCAAATGGAAGTGAATACATGTGAACATTGCTGTAGTCCATCTTTGCGCATCACGGAACCCATTTCTAACCGGTTACTTCAGACTTAAACCAGCAAATGACTTCACTGTCTGTATACCAAAGTTAAAATGGTCGGATAGAAAGATAAGCAACAAGTAACTCGGACGATGCAGCCGATCAAACAAGATTCTATCTCCTAAAAATACACTCTTTTGAGAGATAGACCACTGAATGACATCACGAGGCAGACTGTTGGGCAGACCTCGAATAGGAAGAGACTAGGTGCTTATGAGTCCGAATGTGGCTTTAAAGAGATTCTTGCAAGGTGGAAGCTTGTGGGAAATAGTGCAACCAACTTAAAAAGAAAACAGTGAACCAAGTGCAATAAAGGTTCGTCTCTGAAGCCCGACGTTCCACTGAGAATTCAAAGGAATAATAAGAATAACAGCAATATTCCTAAGGACAGTTGAAACTGGCGGAAAGCCAAAGCATTCTCCGTAGAAGTAACACCATAACGTCATCACATTATTGAGTTATAAAGTCAAAAACCAATTATAAATAAGCCCGAAGGGCAAACATTGAGAGGTCTTTCGTTCAAATCCTGGCGGGCGCGCACAGATGAAGAGGTCTGAACTAGAACGAAATAGCTGTCTGGCAGTACTTCTAACTGTTTCTCCAGTGGTTTTCTAACCGATGTCAGCTCATTTTGAAATCCTGTAATGAAATCCCTTCAAACCAATACTTTTGGACGATTCATTTTCATGAGCTGTACAATCTTAATTATATTGAACAAAGAAGTCAGTAGTCCAATCAGATACTGGTAAACTTTGTCCTTGAAAAATTGTATTACATAATGTAAGGTGTAAGAAGAGATGATTAATTGTAAGTTAAAAAAGAGACAGAAGTTGGCATGATGTAATAAGTGTGAGATAATGACTAATCAATAAGCTCGTGATGTGTTGGTGGAACAGCGGTTAGGACGCTCGCCGACCATGCACATGGTCTGGCGTTCGATCCCCGGCTGACGCACTCCTTTGCCTTGCTAAACCAGAAATAAAGCTGGTAAAGAGGAAAGGTTGGGCATGAGGCTAGCAACCCCATTCTGTAAAATAAACACTGCTACAGAAACTTCAAGCCTCCAGCTTGAAGCCCTTGGTTCCACTCGGAACGTGAAGGAAAAAAATAAGCTCGTGTAGAATAGACAGGAACTAGTAGAAAGGCGATAGTGTTTTTTATATAAAATCTGTATGGAAAAGCAATGTTATTAATAAACATTTATAGAGTGGTAATAAAATGTGACTGATGGAAACAATAATGATAATAAAATAATAGTGTTAATAATAATAGTGAACTTACATAATGAAAGAAAGAAGCAAAATAGTGGTGAGGACTTTAATCTGGCCATGGTAGGGCGAGAGAATGTTTGTATCACTTTTGAATGCAGAGGTACCGTTTCAAATCTTGAATAGCTAATGCTTCAGCTATATACAGACGGCGTATCCAAAGTCCGTTTATAAGATATTGAGGGACTCTGAGTATCACTGTGAAGCATTCTTATAGGGGGGTGTTCGATGTCTTTTCTCCTCTGGCTGGCTAACCAAGCTAGACTGTGTTCCAGAATACGTTTGTGAACTTGACATTGCGTACGGCAGATATACTTTGCTCCACACGATGAAGTAAATTGATAAATACACATTGAAGTTGCCAAAAACGGTGTCTCATCCTCAGCGTTAAACTGGATTAACTGTGGCTGCAGGAGAATGTGATACGTAGGGTGGCTGTTGAAAAAATGTTTTCTTCAGACATTTAGAAATGCGGTTTCTCAATAAGGGGAATATTTCGTTCATTGAAGAAAGCCAATACTTGACTATCATTTAGAGTAAACTGTCTTTTGATTTTTGGCGCTATTGATTTCTCTCAAAGACGTCTAAATATTTTCACATCTTCTTAGCATATTCTTAAATCAACATTCCTTAATCCCATTTTTCCCACTTTTTTTCTTCTCTTGAATTAACACAGCTTCCGATTGCTTTGAATATATGCGTAAAGGCAGTGAAATGATAAAACTGCACACAAGTGGACGTCAATATAAACGAATATTTTATTTAAATGAACAAATGAATTGTATAAAATGGTCATCGTCTTCATCGAATAAACGTCAGTCGAATTCACAAAGTAAGTATATATATATATATAATTTTATAAAATTACAGTTGATTTTATTGCTTGCATACACATAAATATTTGCGTACTTAATGCAAATTTTGTTTTCTTCATATTCTTGTTATATATATCTGTTATATATATATCTGTCACGGACCAAGCACATGGTCTCGGGGTTCGATCCCCTGCCTACACACACCTGAGGTCGATGGTCGGCCAACGAAATTAGTGCTGCCTATATAGCAAGCTGAAAATTCCATACTTGTACCAAAACTACGGTGTGGAATCAAGCTATAATCAAAAAATTATTATTACTATTCCCTTGGGTACCGAGTGAAACTTGAGTACTTCTCCACTTTGTCCTCTTTTCCGTGGTACCCTTCACCTGGCTCAACGATCGCCCATAGTCTCTTATCTTCTTCTCACACGACCTTTACCCCCCTCCCAAGTCACCCTCAGATACAAGCACATCTCTTCATTTCTCGGCGGTCTTATCAGTCAGTGTGTGCCCAATCCATCTCCATTTTGTCTTACGTATATTCTGAGCAACAGGTTATTGATTGGTTCGTTCTCTCTGGCCGACTGATCTACAGTATACAGCGAAGAAGGCAGCTGTTGATAAAAGTCTTTAATTGGTTGTTTGACACGCTGGTCAGGTTTCTAATCCACATAGAAGAACTGACTAATTTACCATTGGTGTTGAAAATTTGAATCTTGTTGTCTATGCTGAGACGGAGTGGAGAAGATTCCCAAACTTATTTCAGGCTGATGAAAGTGTCACTTGCCTTAGCTGATCTTGGCTGATTTCGAAATCCTCATCCATGGTTTCGCCTGTAGGTGAAATGATGCTTCCTAGATAATTGAAGGAGGTAACCTCTTTTAAAAGGAAAATGGTTAGGTTCAATAAATCATCTTGACAGGCGAAACCGCACGCTAGGTAGCATCGCCCGAGTGGGAAGTGATGAGCTGGACATGGTTCCGAAAGTGATCGTGTGATGAAGAGGGAATAAGAGCTTATCGGTAATCGTGGGGCCAGATAAAGAAAAATACAGAGAACATGACAAAGTGGCGACATGATGTTAATGCTCCATATTCCACTCGGAACGCAGGGCAATTATAATGATAATAATTCATCTTGACTGTCTACGTAGCTCAGTCGGTTATAGCATTGTGTCTCCGAAGACATTAGATTTGTGTCGGTTATCCAATGATTGAATATCAGCTAGTGACGCGTGCTTCGAGCCCCCATTCCCAGCCGATGCACTAATCGGCATTTAGCCTGGATGATACAGAGAAGGTGTGGCGTAATGCTAGCATCCCGAAGCCCATAAAAACAACACTACCTCCACTAATGTTCTGCTAGGAACTTTAAGAAAGAAAAAAATCATCTTGGCGCCAAGTAACAGATAATAAATGTTATAGTGCATGACTGGTAGGAAGAGGTATTTTTGCATACATCTTAATTTGACAGCTTCAAATGCTGACGTTACTTAATGTCAACATTTGATGGAAAACATATTTAATGTAGATCGGTGTTTTATTATTTCGTGAACTAATAGTTTTAAAAGTATTAACAGTCTACACTTTGTTAAAGCTTAGACCCCAGCATAATCAATCTACCATAAAATAAACACTGTTACAGAAGCTTCAAGCCACTAGCTTGAAGCCCTATATTCCACTGGGGAACGTGAAGGAAAAAAAGAGAGCCATTGACGAAACCCGCACTGGTGTGCTAGACAGCTGTTTCATCCTAGTTTGGGACTCATCGGCAGTACTCATCCACCTTCAGAGTTCGAACTTAGGATCTTCCGGTTACAAGGCAAGCTATTTCGTAGACCATTCAGTCACTGGGACCCGATTCAATGGCCCATGAACTCTTACTTCTACCAGTTCGTGATTTAGCACGATTACCAAACAATGTCATCAGCGAAAAATCCATCCTCACACCTGACTGGATGGACGTCGCTGGTCAGGACTTCTCACTAGAACTCCAGGAAACTTCATCCTGTAGCAAGTCACTAGAGAGGATCACATTTATTTTCAAGAGTTGTTTCGTAAGGATTAGACTTATATTTTTTTAGAATTTGACCAAGGATTGATATCAGTTAGAGAACCATTGAGAACTGGCTGTGTTACTTATAATGACAGGGTATCAGAACTGCGTACCCTTTTTTGGCAAGATGCGTATAAAAATGTATCTGTATTGTGAATGTCAGTGTAAATTGTGATATTCATTGAAATGAAACACGATATGTGATCTACTTGATACCCTTAATGATAATCAAGAAATCAAGCATATTTGCATTAGACCACATACTACTGATTGAGCATGGTGAGTAGTCGCATACCACTCACACCAACCAGTAATGCTTACCAGCTAGCCAGATCTAAGCGATCTAAATGCCGGACGACCATTTCGCTCGTTTCAGATGGGGCTCATCAGAGATGTAGCCTGTCGACTCAGCTGAATCAGATAAAACCACCCAACATCTGGCTGGCGTCCACTTGGACTGTGTGGATTGCGAATCGCTGGCCAATTTGTAAACCGTCGATTTGATTTTTGGTGTCACCAGTTTGCTCAAGTTGCTAGACAGAAATCGGATGGTTCGAACTGATTAGGCTCTCTGAGCTGAGTTAAACCGGGTACACTGCGGGTGTTTAAATCACCTCGACCTGGCTAGCTGGGAAGTACCTACTCATCTCAATTAATAAGTAGTATATATGTTTTTATGCTAAGTGGGGATATCTGTACATCAAAAGTGGGCGTTTTTAGTATTCTTGCCTTATCTGAACTAGCTGTTATGATGTCACCATCTTCATATTTCGTAATAACATTGAGATTGAAATAGAGACGCCGATTTGGACACAGACGGAATAGCCACGAATACTGCTTGTCTATGCCAACAATATTATACGACAGCTACCCTATTCCCAGTCTTCTCTACTTAAGTGAGACTACACAAATGACGAGACTGAAAATAAGGGCATATTTCACGAAACAATCAATGTATGATTCAAAAAGTCACCAAGTCAGTCTGTAATAATGTGGCCAGTAATATAGTGGGCGTTATTTCAACTGGATAAATTGTAATTGGTTTATTTCCAGACTACACATTGGTCTCCACTCCACATCACTAGCTTTCGTCATCCTTCTGTATAACGCCTACGGCATTACCTTCAGTGAGAAGTGATCTTTCCGATTCGTACACGCATAATTTATTCATCTTTCCCCGTGATTCTTACCGTAGTCGATTGAACCTGACGGTTGCTTTATAATTATAATCGGCAGGACAATGAAAGCCCCGCAATCAAACCAGTTAGCTGAGGCATTTCAACTACACTGAAAGCTAACTATACAGCATATGCTTGACATGATAATTATATACACTCTGAACAATTGTTGGAATAATCAACTTAGCTAATTTCTCTTATGACAGGAGTCATTTTTTCAACTGGCTTTTAGTTGCATAAATTAGTCTTTCAGTTGACATTCATCCATGACAGCTGTCAGGCGTTAGTAAATTAATCTGAGCATTAAAATAGAGACTATGCTATGGTATAATTATTTTTACATCACAGTATATTTCCCGTACTGCTTTTTTCTCCTATTCTGTTGCGTACAAGTCGATATATGTAAAACGTTTTGTAATATTCAGCTAGATTCACAGCGAATCATTTAGAATGTTAGTTGATTATTCGTTTTTGGTAGAACAGACAGAATTAACGGGGAATAATCATTTGTACTATTATATGTTATTGTTCCCTTGGCTTCTGAGTGGATTATAGGGCTTCAGCAACACATGGCGTTTCCGTTCTATTCTCTGCAGTCCCCTTCAGCTGATCCCACGATTTCCCGTAGTCCCTCGTTTCCTCTTCTCACAATCTTCTTCATGTCACCTTCAGACCCATACGCAACTCGTTGTTTCCTATTCGGGTTCACCTCAAGCAGTGGTCTAGTGTGCAGTTTCATTCAGTGGTCTCCTTATAGTGTATTCGATCCATCTCCATTTTCTTCAGAATATTTGTTGAGCTAAGAGTTCTTGGTTGGTTCTTCCAAATAGTTTCTTGTTACTAATTCTCTCCGGCTTGCCATCTGATCTTCAGTATACAGTCACGTAGGGCAGTCATTGATAGAAGTCTCCAGTAGCTTGTTCGAGATGCTTTTCGTGATGCGTACTGCAAGTTTTTGATCCAATATATAGAAGAAGTGACTAACTTAACATTGGTGTTGAGAATCCAAATTTCTTGCTCCCTCTGAATACAGTAGATTTCCACACTGATTTTAGGGTGTTTAAGGCAAATATCACCTTTCTGATTCTGGTTTTGACATCCTCATTCGTGTCATGTGCCTGACTTTGAAAAGATGCTTCCTTGATAAGTGAAGGAAGTGATATCCTTCAGATGTCTTCTGTTGCTGTTGACTGGTGCTTGTTGTTGTTGTTGGTTGGTTGGTTGGTTATTTTCACCACCTCTGTCTTCTCTACGTCTCCTTGGAGTCGTGTCTGCGTTGTACTACTTTTTTTCCCCATCCGTGGCTTTTTCACCTGTAAGTCTTCGAGTTCGTGTAACCTTTTCAGTATCCATTATGCCCATTGGTAGTTCAAGAGTAGAATGCTCGCCAACCATGTACTTGGTCAGGGTTCGATTCCTGACATTTGCTAAAATCTTGAGACCCTGTGTTCCACTCGATAGCAGAAGAATGAAGAGGGAGTAGTGTATGTCATTAAAAAAAAGAAACCATCTCGTATAGTCTGGAAATGCGGCTGAATAATTAAAAAACAAAAGGTTGGGAATTAACGTTAGCTTTCAATACCTTTCAAATCACCGAAAATACGCATTTAGTCATGAAGAAAATAAAAGATAAATTCAGCGAAGAAAATTTTCTTTATCGACGAAATCATCTTCAGAGGCTGGACAGTCGTGTTTATACTTGCCAAAAATATATAGTGGTCTAATATTGAGTAATAGGGGAATGGTGACATAATTGATATATTTACTCAGAAGTGACTTTA